GTATTATGTGCAAATAAATATTTTCTCCGACTCAGTAGGGCTATCTATAACTTTATTTTTTCTTGCCATGCATAAGCCTTTTAATTTGATATAGTCTTATTTTTATAATACCCAGAATATGAAAACAACCCAAATCAACTATGGATAACTGGATCAAGAAGTTGTGGTATTTATACACAATGGAATACTATGCAACCCTTAGAAAGGACAAAATCATGCAATTTGCTGTGACATGGATGAAACTTGGGATATATGCTGAATGAAGTCAATGAGAAGAAAAGAGATAGATACAGAACAATATCTCTCATATTAAAGACTTAAAGATGCACAGCAACCTTACAAAGAACCAAAGGCAACACAACAGGAGGACTGATCTACAAATTTGAATTTGTGTGTCTTTGGGGAGGTGGGGCACTGAAAGGGAAAATCCTTGAGGGAGGCCTTGAGGTAGAGAAGTGGGTATACTAGTGATGGGAATGGTGCTGAAATTAAGTATATGTGGATCCATCATTGGCAATATTGTATATCAGTGCCTCAATCAATAGTTTTAAAAATTAAATTAAATATGATGGCTTTTAAAAACCTTTTAAAGGACTCTTAGGAAATCTTTGGCCTTTTTTCTTGTGTGACATTATGAGTGATTCCTATGGTGAAAAATGTGAAAAAGACAGCTGCGTTCAAGCACTCTAAATTCCTAAATTTGAATTCTCACTAAATTGTGCATGACTTGTGAAGCAAGTCCAAGATCACAAAACTGTTGCGGACCATGATGCCACCTCTGGAGACCAGGACAAGAAGCTAAATTCTTTTTCAGATTTTATTGAATTGCTTCTTGCAAAACTATTGCTAGCATCTTAAATCTGGTTTGGTGTGCCATTAAAAGTCTAAAATTAATGTTTATTTTTTATTTATTTATTTATTTTTGCTTTCTGGGTCGCACCCGGTGATGCACAGGGGTTACTCCTGGCTCTACATTCAGGAATCACTCCTGGTGGTGCTCAGGGAACCATATGGGATGCTGGGAATCCAACCTGGGTCGGCTGTGTGCAAGGCAAACGCCCTACCCGCTGTGCTATCTCTCCAGCCCCAGTGTTTATTATTTTTTAAAAAATTGCACAAGACCTAAGCATGGTGTCAAGTTCAAAAGGCTACATAAAACCAATCATGAAAAACATGTTCATCATCCATTCTTCTTTCTGGCTGATGGAGAGCATATTGTCTCCTTGCCAGCATTCATTGACAGGTGTCTTAGATCTACTCTTGCAAGACATTTTATGAGTATCTCTATCTTTACATAAGATTTCAGCATCCAAATGCATTATACATGCATGGCTATTCAAATTCAAATAGAGTATAAGCATATTAAGATATTCTATTTCAAATAATTCTTGCTCAAAATATTGATCATGCTTTTTTTTTTTTTTTTGACTTCCAGGAAGAGGCAAGAACTGTTTTGGGATAGTAAAAACATAGATGGGGGCTATAAGGCAATGAAAATCTGCCCAGAGCTAGCAGCTAAGGCCTAAACTTCTCACCTGAAAACCACATAATCTCTATGATGAGCAAAGTTCCTTCCAAAGGGAAGGACAAGCATTCTGTTAAACAAAAGATCATGTTTATTTTTTCTCAGGTATATGCTGAAATTAGGCCATTGTGGCACCTACAAACTGAACAATGAGATGGATGATCCAATAGTTTAGATACTAAAAATATTTGAGATTCTATAATATAGTCCATGCCATTTTGTTATTATATCTTTATTTCTTTAAAAACTGGCAAACCATCTATCAAATATATGAACATAAATCCGAATAGTATCATTTCCAAAATATCCATAATTCATCATAGCTTAGTATCATCATTTCCCAGATATTCTTGATTAATCATACCTTAGACATCATGCACCAAGCCATGGAGAATTGATTAATTGCAGGTGGGTTCATCGGTACAATTAGGATATAAGATGTTACCCCTTCCATGCTTGGTAGTGTATCAAGTCTTTTAATAATTACATGAAATTTTACAGCAGGATTATGGGTCAGAAAGCTTGTCTGAAGGATCGAGTGGAACTCAGCTATGACAAATACCCAGGTAAACTCCCCACGATTTATCTATCAGATCTGGGGTGAGGCCTGAGAAGCAGTCTCTTCACAAGCCTCTTCTATCAGTGCTTTTTCCAAGCTGAAACACAATGACACCTGGGTTGCTTTGAAAAAAGAAAAAAAAAAGCCTGTATCTGAGTTTCAGCCCTGAGATTCTAATCAAATAGGTCTGAGGTGTAACCAACATGTTGAATTTCTTGAATCCTACCCCCCGCAATGTGTGGTCAGCATTAAAAATCATTGCCATACCATTTGCTCAAATACCTGAGTATGAAACTCTCTTTGAATGATGAAGAACTGTTTCTTTCTCTCATGTGGCATAGGTGTAATCCTTTCCCCATATTAAGAGCTCTCCTGGGCATGGTATCTGCAGTGTCCCAGCACCCAGGGGCCTCTTCTATCTCAACAGCTGAAACAGAATCTGCATTTTTAACAAGATCCCTGGGTATTTGTTTCAGTTGCTCAATAAAGTGTAAGGAGCACAGCAAAGAGACCTCCAATCATGCATTTTTATTAGCTCTCAGGTGTTGTGGTTTGGCTGGTGTTCTGACCACAGAGGCAAAGAACTAAAGCACATTTTCCCCCCTCAAAGTGTGTGTGTGTGTGTGTGCACATGTGTGCGTGCGTGCGTGCGTGTGTGTGTGTGTGTGTGTGCGTGTGTGTGTTGTGGGGTGGGGGGGCTGAAGTTTCTAGAAAAACTGTCAAATTCTAGACTTCGGCACAAATCTCCTGAATTAAACTCCCTGGAAATCTCCCGTGATAACTGCCCATTCATAGTGATTCTTATTTACATAAAACAGCCTGAGAGTCACTGAAGCAAGTTCAATTTTTTCCCCAGAGTAGGCGTCATTGTCTCCTTGGAAAAGAAACCTCATCTAATTTAAAAGCTCCTCTGCATTTAGCCTCATTCGGCCTCGAGGAAATAGTACTAATCTCGAAAGGAAAAAAAGTCTCTTCCTCAGCTCTTCAAATAATTGACACAGTCTCTCCTTAGTTGGTTTGATCTTCATCTTCAGGTTTGGGTTTCTCAACAGTGACTCCTGGTTGGATTTCTTATCCTGTGGTTATCCCCAACACCTCCCACATAGACCTTCCAGTTGAGTCACACCCCTCAGAGTTAAGCAGCTCAAACCAGAAAAAAGTTTGTGAAGTGAGTAAATCATTTAAAAATGACTTTATCATCAGCTCTCACTCATATAGTTTAATGCAGCTGGAGTTTAATTTGTTTTTGAAGGAAAGTTATGAGTGATGTTAATTTAATATTAAACTTGTGTTCATCTACCACCTATATATCCCCCTTTTTTCTGGATCATCAAGAGATGTGCTTCCTCATCCTTTACTTTCAAAATTATTGAAGTCAAAGTAATGATATTTGTCCTAAGAGCCCTGACAAATATCATCCCTGTGACCTTGCCCCACTGTTTCAGTCCAATGAAGGAGTTCTAGTGGCTACTCTGGAACAGAAAGGTATTGGACCCAAGTTCAAGTCTGATAGCTAGAACTTGATTTTATGCTAGTCCTTTAGCTTTTGAAAATTTCTATTTTTCCTGGCAAGCTACCCGTGACAAACATGGTAACAAGTGTCACAATGGAGACGTTACTGGGCCCGCTCGAGCAAATCGATGAACAACGGAAGGACAGTGACAATAATCTATGAAATGGGCACATTAGTAAATAGTACCAATCTAGCTATGGTAGTTATGGTTATGATAATATAAAAAGCACTTGGTCAAGTATAAAGTTATGTAACTGGTTAACTAATAAAAGCACCCCCATGCTACACACTCCTAATAGGCATTCTCTTCATTCACTTTCTATCCCTACAATAAAAGAAATGGCAGGAAGAAAATCCTTTGAAATGCAAAACAGTTTCCTCCATTGCCATCTGGGACCCACTCTAGTTGGCTTTGTCTTTTCGGGAAGACATCCTGTCTCAACAAAGGAGAGGTGAAACATGGCATGAGAGCCAGGATAGTTCTTTAGAAATAAACCACACAGAAGTGGATGAAACCAGAAAACCTCATCCATGATGCTGATGTGGTGTAGCGTGTGCACACAGGGTCTTTGTTTCACACTGAAAGAGGAGCCCCATATTGCTAAGTTTCCAATCAGTGTTAATTCCCAAGCTAAGGGGAAACAGGGGATAAGATTAAAAACAAACAAACAAATAAAAAAGGTAGATTGTGCTGCAATATAAAAGTAAAGTAAAAGTAAAGGCCCTCCCGTTGATCGTCGATTTGCTCGAGCGGGCCCAGTAACGTCTCCATTGGAGACTTTGTTGTTACTGTGTTTGGCATATCAAATACTCTCGGTAGCTTGCCGGGCTCTCCGAGAAGGGCAGAGGAATCGAACTCGGGTCGGCCATGTTGGCCGCTTGTAAGGCGAACGCCCTACCGCTGTGCTATTGCTCCAGCCCATACAATGTTATCTATGCCACCAATATAAGACTTCCCCCTGCCTTACTGCCAAAAATTCTCCTCCTGGTTACTCAGGAGTAATGAGATGTTGGAGTATTGTACAGACCTTTCCATGCAAGGTTAAACTGCCTAGATAGAGAGGAGTAAGAATAAGATATTCTGAGACTTGGTCATCATTTGCATCTCTCCATCTCCAAATCTATTTCTTAAAAGAGAGAATCTTAAAACAGGAGACTCAAGTTTCATCCAATAGTCTAAGTAACGCCTTATCATTATCAAGCATCCTCAATACTTGATAGTCTTCTGTGAATCTCCAGGCAGTTTTCCAGATACAAACCTTTGTGAAAAATTTGCATGATTTACACATGAGAAGGTCTGAGTCTTTCAGAATAAAGTTTTTTTCCCCCAAGAGTCTAACCAAAGAGTCATTACATAGATCATATATACAAGGCAAAGATTAAATGCACCCAAACTACTCAAGTAACAAACACCTAATATTTATTAATAAATTAGTACACTTTGAAGGCATTTTCCCGATTTCAGTCCCTCACCACTACCCACAAGCCCCATCCACACGTAGGGAGTCTTGACCACTTTTGCTTTAGATTCTGTCAACTGAGCATTAGAGATTACACTTATAATTGAAAGCATAGTTGCAAATATATCAGACAAGAGTTCTTATAGCTGCAGCCATTTTTTTAATTAAAGTGATTGATGAAAGAAACCCACCAAGACCAAGGCCTTAAGGGCAGACTGGACCTATAGACTGTGTGTATATAAAAAAACAAGACATTTTTTAAAGCAAAGCTGGGCAAATTCCTTGTGGAAACGGTGTCGCTGGCACTTGGTTGTGAACTTTCCAAAGCGCAGCATTAATGTTCCGGAACAGCTCAATCCCTGAAAGATGAAGTCCAAATTCTTTGGTGGCCCAGGTGTCAAGCCACCGAAAGAACAAGTCCTGATGAAGATTCCATGTCTCTAGCCCAGAGTATATGAGTGTAAGAGGCGCAGGAGGCATCAAGAAATCTACACTGTGTCCAGGTGAAAAACCTTACAATCAGCAACAGTGTGTTCAAGTTCCAGCCATGAATATGAACTATACAACAAAGCATATTAAAAAGATTACGCAAAACCTAACTGCAGTACAGAAACTCAACAAGGTCTTACATTTCCTTAATCTTGAAGAAAATTCATAAGCTACAAATAATAAAAACATCAACAATTAAAAAAAAAAGTAATTGTGGAGATCGCAACATGAAAACTGCTTAAGAAGTCACAGGATGCCATTACACTTTGAAGAAGAGCCTCCTAGTACAGTGTGCAGAAAAAGCCACACTGCATTTGTGGTATGTTAAGTAAATTTAAAGTGCACAGAATGATTTCAAAAGTAAGTTAAGGAGGCAAAAGAGAAAGGGAAAAATAAAAGGAACCCCAGAAACCCTTCAGTGGTAGGGATTTTGTGACAGTTTCACCTTGAAAAGGCTCTTAAACTAATTTTCCAGACAGGTTTAAAAAGAAAAAAAAAAAAAAGGAAAAGAGCTCAAAACACTGGCCATATACTCAGTTAAACACACATACACTCACTCACACAAACACGCACACACAAAGGAGGGGGGAAAAAAAAAACTAAAAAGATAAAACAAACCACCCTGCCACTATAATGGAGTATTCCAGAGTGCGGGATCCCTTGTGTTTTACAATAGGTCAGGAAGATGGCTATAAACAGAGTCCAGGAGGGTCTGGCTGGCTTCCTGGCTCTTGACTCCAATAATCTCAAATAGCCGGTCCAGCTTGTCTTCAGCCTGAGGAATCTCTTCGATCACACGCAGCTCCTCGGGATTCAGAATGTGGAGCATGTCATCAAAAATAGGCTGCAAGTCGCAGGGATCCAGGCGTACCTGCCGCAACACTGTGTCTTTCTTCTCTGTGGGGATGGAGAAGAAGGGAACAGGCATAAACGGTCTGTACTGGAGGTAGGGCAGAGCTCACACCTACCCTCCGCCCTGCCTTTCAATCTCCAACTCCAACCCGAGGATGTGAACTTCAGGTTAACTTTGAGTCATACAGAAAAATTTTACTGGCAATGCACATGAAACAGCAAACAAGATTTACCTAATAGGGGTCAGATAAAGATTCACTTCAATGGGTTGTGGATATGCCATACATGACATTTGCGGGGCTGAAGAGATAGTGTGGTGGGTAGAATGCTTGCCTAGCATGTGGCCACGCGGGGTTTGATCTGGGGCACTCCAGAGCCCACCAGGAGTGATCCGTGAGTGCAGAGCCAGGAGTAAGCTCTGAGCAGAACTGGCTGTGGCCCGCAAATTAAAAAAAAAAAAAAAGCCTATGACATTTGCCTACAATTTAATGGCTTCCTTAATTTCTCTACCGCTTGGGAGAATGCTCAGTATCACCAGGAAAGAACCTTAAGCACCAATGACGTGTAGCCAAAGAACAGGATAAAAAGAAGAAATTTACATTAAGTTCACTGCTTTCCTTGTCTGTGATGTGTTTACCCAAAGAAGCTCTCAGCCACTGCTGTTCCTTCAGAATTTCACATCAACAAAGTCCCCTTCTCTGCCATTCAAATTCTACTGCATTTTTTGGTTTGGTTTTGTTTTGGGGCCACACCTAGCAGTGTTGAGGGCTTACTCCTGGCCCTGCACTCAGGGATCAGTTCTGGCAGAGGCTGGGGACCATATGGGATGCTGGGGATCAAAACCAGGTTGGCCCCAAGCAAGGGAAATTCCCTACCTACTGGACTACTGCTCTGGCTCTCCATTATAATGTTTTAAAACTAAATCAGAGAGCAAAAGCATATAAATAAGAGAACACTGCTTCTTAGGAAACTTGCAATTACAAAACCTTTTCCCTAAACTCTATTACCTAATGTTATATAACATAGCAAAATACACATAAATACAAAATAGATGACCAAAAGCATACATTTAATAAAACATAAATAGATATGAAAAACCACACTTTGAAAAATACATGAACTATCATGAAAAACACAAACTAAAATAAAACTGCAATCCCTATGGAAAAAAATCAGTCATTAATGCAGTGTGCATCTTCATCTTCCTACCCTTTTCTTAAAAAATGTAAATGGCAAATCATTTAGCTCAGGTGCCAATCCAGAGTGTTTCAAACACGGCTATTTGCAACCACAATTACCAGTGACTTTTGATTTGAGCCCCTGAAACCGGGACTTCTGACTCTCCAGATAGTTCGGCTTTAAATCCTTGGAATTTGCAAGCCTGATAAATAATTAAAACAAAAACCAAAAACCTGCCCGGCAACATTTTATCAGACTTTCCCTGAAATACTTGTTTTGATAGCATTAGAGGATAAAAGGGTGCCCCATGGACCTACATAAACCCTTGCCAGGTAGCTGAGCTAGCCAGACAATTCACGGCGGGTACCCAAGTGCCAGTGATGATGTGGTTTGTCCCTGACCAGTCGCATCCGTAGCCCAGGATAGGTCTCCCTGGGCATGCATTCAAATGACTGAAGAGAAAAAACTGGAGTCAGTCTTAGCCCATGAAGGTGCCTGACCAGTGGTGAGCCCTGCAGTCAGTCTTAGCCCATGAAGGTGCCTGACCAGGGGTGAGCCTTGCACGCGTTACCTTTGGTAATAAAGGAGCCCGTCCTGCTCAGCGCCGAGGAGCCGCTGGAAGTGGAGTCACAGCGAAGGAGGGGCTCGGACTCGTCCACGAAGAAGCCCTTGCTCTTCTCCAGCGGCGACGGCTCCACCGTCAGCAGAGTGGAATTCTCAAGTTTGGTGTTAGGGCTGGGAATGGGGCTCGGACTGAGCGGACCCGGGCTCATGGGCAGAGCCAGTTTGTCGGTTTCCAACTATGGGAAAGGCGGAAAAAATATTTTAATTAATCAAAAGAAGTAGAAAGAGCAAACGATGAAAGAGCCCTTACTCCGATGACTTATTATTTTTTTCTTTTGTTCCACTTAATATTTTATACACAACTCCCATTTTGGTAGCTTACAGCATTTTTTCCCCTCTATTTCATTCTGGATATTCCAGGAATTACTGCAAGCACGTCAACACTATATGCTGGGCCCACAGTCAAAACAGTGGGTAGAGTTTCTTTAAATTAACTTTTGTATTTTCTATTACGGGGTATTGGGCGCAGGAACTCGCACATGACACAGTGATGTATCACTGAACGACCACTACAGCTTGGGTTTAATAAATATACAGGGGTAGAGGGAGAAACAATACCAAAATAGGACTGTCCCTCAAACTGAGTATTTGTATTATTGTATCTCAAAAACACTTACATAAAAATATTATGCAGTATTAAACGGATTAATACAAGTGAAAACATGCAGATCCTTAGCTATCTTTCTGCATCAAAATTTGTACCCCATTTTTTTCTACATATAACTAAGTCTCCCAATAACTAGTCCACTTTGGTGCTCAGGGCTTATTCCTAGCCCTACATTCAGGAATCATTCCTGGTGACGCTCAGGGGACAATAAGGGGTTTTCTGGAGTTTAAATGCAGGCAGTCTATGTGCTAGGGAATTACCCTACCCACTGTACTATCCCTCAAGCCCCTGTATATACACCTTCTAAAAATCCTTCAAAACTATATGTGAACAAAAAAAACAAAAACAAACAAACAAAAAAAACCCCTATATGTGAACAACCAATGGTAATTCAATTAAAACTTTCAATAAATATGTTAGATGTCTTGCAAACTACTTGAAAGAAAACACTAATAACCATATTAAATTCATTAAAAACCAAGGAAGCATCAACGTGAAACTGTTACTTCACAGGAGTAGCGAACACTGCAAAGAGGAAGCTTTCCAACTTACAACATCATTTTGTTGAGCTGAGAAAGTTCCTAGATAAAAATCTAGGATATTCTCCTTTGTTGTAGGTTAAATTATGTTCCCATAAAAATTCCTATGTTGAAGTTAGAACTTGTCAATGTTCTAACTTCAGATGTGAGAAAATGAATTGCTGTCATTAAAACGAATGTTTCTCAACCTTTTTTCAACTGTGGACCCTCTATCCTACTGGTTTGGCCCCAAGTATCATGCCATGCCCCACCTCACACTCCGATATATAGGATTTTCATCAGTCGTACCCCTCAGACTACCAATTGATCAGCTTTCATGAAATAATGGAAACAGCAAACTTGTTTCCAGAATGGTGTTAGAAGGAGAATAAGAAGCAAGCAACCAACCATGTGGTTATAGATGGAGACGGGGAGCTGGCTTTGCTGACCACTCAGGTGTGTGGTGAGTTTTATTGAGGGAGGTAAGAATCAAAACAAGGAACTGAGTTAGGAAGCTGCCCTAGCCAAGTGAAGTGCAATCAGGGACTGAATGACTGTATGCAGTGTAGATAGCGGGCAGGGGATGCACTGAAAGGTGCCATCACCCCCTATCCATTTTATAGGTACAAGACCCAGAGAAGGCACAGACCTACTGGGAAAAGGTTGGTGCTTAAATTAGGTTGGCTTGGCAGACTGGCACTTCCTAGTCCCCTGACATCGGTGAGAATCTGCATGAAGGTGGCATGTCATTGAGGGTAGGGTTCAGGGGGTGACGTGCACCATCTCCAGTGCTGTTACTCATCCACCATGAACCCTCACTTGAACCCTCATGACTCAATGGTCAAGACATTAACCCTCATTTCAGAATATTACCCTTCAGTAATTGTGAAACACACAAAGCAAACACAATCACCTATCTCCAACCCGAAGGCTAGGAAACACCCACACTTGACTACAGATTCTGAAGATAACTGCTGGTGGAGAATGCCCAGCATCCTGGGCACCACTGCCCACACACTTCTTCCAGCACAGCCACTCAGATATCATGCATTCCCAGCAGCTTCCTTGAATCCAGACATGTCTCATGTATACGCTTGTAAAATTTTAATCTGATAAGCCTTTGCATGTGCCTCCTCCCTGAAAATGCACATAGCCATTCATGCATATCTATTTTATTTTACAGTCAAAGAGCACTTGTCAGGGACATTCCGCTGTATGACATGGTCAGTCAATATAATGCACTGTTCTTACTTAAAAAAAAAAAAGAACCTCCCACCCACAAATCACATGACATCAGATTAAGCTGTCCACCCACCATTTCCTGAATTGAGTTCAAACTTTGAATATTTCATTCCCACCCCCCTCTCCACCCCCCAGCTTTTACCAAGGATCTTATCTGTGTGAATATTTAGCATATGAATTCCAGCATAATTTAGAAAAATACAATGCTATCATGAAGCTCTCCTCTAACTAAGAAAACAAGTGCATATGAAAAGACCCCAACAAATAGTTTTATCATTGCCACAATGGAGTTAACAACTACAGCAGAGATGATTTGTCAATTATCTTTCTGGAAAACCTATCCAGTTATCGAGTGTACCTATTCTTTCCTTTGTGGTGAATATACATTAGAGGGTCGCATTCCAGACTTTTCTGAAGCCTTTTGCCTATTTTCCTGTGTGGAAAAAAAAAAATAGGCGACTGGTGTGCTGTATACTGTGCTAAGAGGACTGCTGATTTGCAATCCATGTGAAAAAAAATATTGCTCCTAAAAACTCACATCTTTCCTCCCTTTATCTAACCATCAATTGTATCTAAATACTCATGACATCTATCAAAGCTGGTTTGCAACACTACAGTGACATTAAACATTGTGACCTGTGAAATCTCTACCCAGAAAATTGAATCACTAAGATGTGTGAAATAAGTGATCAATTTTATTAATTCAGAACTTTCAAGATTCAGAATTGAGCTTTAGCAACAGAAAAACATTTATGATTAAGATTTTAAGATTGAGGGCTGGAGTGATAGCACAGCGGGTGGGGCATTTGCCTTGCACGCGGCCGACCTGGGTTTGATTCCCAGCATCCCATATGGTCCCCTGAGCACTGCCAGGGGTAATTCCTGAGCACTGAGCCAGGAGTAACCCCTGTGCATCCCCGGGTGTGACCCAAAAAGAAAAAAAAAAGATTTTAAGATTGAAGGGGAAGGTAAATACTCTATGCCAGAAAGCCAGGTTTTCATAGAGGAGGGTCTTAGCACCCTTTTTGCAAAAGTTCAGGACATAAACTTATGAAAATATTCTCCAAAATAGATTAGGGGGGATTTAATTTATTCCTTATGCTCCTTTAAGCTTTCTAAATTCTCTCCAGGGACATATTCACTTTTATAATTAGAAAAACAATAAATGTTATTGGTAGAAGGAATCGCCATTGATAAGCTCATGTTCCTTCTGCTAACTTGAAACATACTGTGACAGCAACCATTCTTATTTATATTGGCAGCCAAAAATCAGGCTAGTTAGAAGAGCATCCATCTTCTTGGCTGAGCTCTTATGTATATTACACTTCACTAACACATCTGGGCAATACAGACCCCAACGTACTGCTCTGAGGCAGATGTTAAGATTTCAAAGAAAGACATCTGGGAAAATTCAACCAATGAAGGTGATGGTTGAATCTTCAACTCCTCCAGACTGCAGTGCACTCTGGGGTAACTTGAGAGGGACAGTTCTTTTTTGGTTCAATGGCTAGGAGGTAATCATGCTGACTTGTCAGATCTACTTGCGAATGAAGCCAGACAGTAAGACAGAAAGAGGAAGATAGCAGCCAAGACCGGAATGCTTCTATTGTGTGAATCCCAAGAGCAGGCAATTTATTTTGGCTGAAAGGGCCCCCAACATCCTCGTGATTAGTTTCCAAACAAGTACACTTGGTCCTTCCAGATACTGCATTTATTAGCCCAGGGTGATAAGGGAAGAGAGATAAATGGTTCACCTTATTCAAAGGCTGAGTCACTCCTCAGTTTCCATTGCTGACTATTTTCCTTTCTGATTATCAGGACCAGGGAGTACTAGGAACCATCCAATGGATTAAGTACACAGGGGATTGATTAAAGTTCGCAGTCTCAAACGTCTCTGCTGTACCAAGGTTTGTGGCTGTTCTTGTGAGAACAACGACTCAGCTTGTGTTGGGTTGCACTGGAATAGCCAAGGTTTCTCTCCTTTCTGCATTTCCAACTCTGTGTGCCCATAACCTGCCCCACTTTCCCCTCCCACTTGCATCCTCCGAGTGGTCTCCAAATCACACCCTGAGACTAAAGATCAAACAGACTTCTTTTAATACCAAGCCCCAAACCTCACTTCCGGGTTCAATGGCCTTTCCAAAGACAAAGAAGGTTCCAATCCTATGAAAGGTTGAAGTGTTTCCCCAGCCCAGGGCGAGGGGTGGGGTTTGGGGGATGGTGAAGCAAATCCTTTCCAGGTCTCACTCAAGGCAAGGGTGCAAGGAACATAAGAGGAGGTTTTGAAACACCTTTTCAATGCAAGCTCTGAGCAAACAGAACGTTCCTCAGCCTCTATCTTTACAGCATGCCCTTCATGGGTTCCTAATCAGCTCCTGAAAATCAAAGTCATGAAAATCCTGGAACACCATGCAAAGCAGGAGAGGAGATACACCACTGGCTGTGGTCTCGGACAAGCCACTTCCCCCCTCGGTCCTGCTTCCTTATTTTTAAACTGAAAAGGTTAGGCGAGGTCATCTTTGTGAAAGTCAAGCCTTAGTTATTGTCTGTCTTACCAGGGCTCTTCCATTCCCCCCCCCCCCCCAACTGGTCTGCTCAACTAAGGTTTACCACGGAGTTATTTTCAATTAGTACCCAATTACAATTTCCCTGTGGTTGCACAATCTGTTTTCATAAAATTAATTAACAACTGTGATGCATCACTGACCCCCTGAAATGAAGCATTAATTACCCAGTCTAGCTGGATTCTGGATTCTTCTTTTTAATCTGCTAAAAGGGTTTAATTTAACCCTTTGACTCCTGACTGACA